TAGGGAATTCCTTGTGCCCTGGGAGGTATTTTATAGTTGGATTCACTCATTGGCCTTCAGGTATCTTGTTTTGATGTTTCTCATTCACTGTGTGGTGCTTGGGCTCATGTCTTTGTGGATATGTTCCATCTGGTTCTCTGGATGTCTGCTTCTCTGGACGTCTGCTTCTCTGGACGTCTGGTTCTCTGGACGTCTGCTTCTCTGGACGTCTGGTTCTCTGGGCGTCTGTTGCTCTGGGCGTCTGTTGCTCTGGGCGTCTGTTGCTCTGGACGTCTGGTGCTCTGGACGTCTGGTGCTCTGGACGTCTGGTGCTCTGGACGTCTGTTGCTCTGGACGTCTGGTGCTCTGGACGTCTGTTGCTCTGGACGTCTGTTGCTCTGGACGTCTGGTGCTCTGGACGTCTGGTGCTCTGGACGTCTGTTGCTCTGGACGTCTGGTGCTCTGGACGTCTGGTGCTCTGGAAGTCTGGTGCTCTGGAAGTCTGGTACTCTGGACGTCTGTTGCTCTGGACGTCTGGTGCTCTGGACGTCTGGGTCTCTGGAAATCTGGTTCTCTGGACGTCTGGTTCTCTCTACATTGGGATCTCTGGGCTGAGAGTTTTATGGAAGTTGGGCTCCCTGCGGACCTTTGGTTCTCTCAACATTAGGTTCTCAGGTGACATGGTTCTCATCAACTATGGTGCTTTCTGGCTCTACTCTGCACCATGGGTAAATACATCCCCCCCCCCTTTCCCCTGCCCTTTTTTTTTTTTTTTTAGGGTTCACAAGGTTTCACAGCGGAGAGTTTTACTTTTGAGAGCAATTAAGAAGTGTAAAACTAGAAGTGCACATTTAGTGAAATGTAAAGCTCCTTTACGAGCTGGTCACTTGGTTGCTTCCAAATCCCCTTGTTTTGTCCAGTCTACCCTGTTGCTTTTATGGTTTTGTCCAAATTATCCTGTTGCTTTGGATGTATTCTTTAGCCTTCCCTGTTGTTTTATTTTTTTTGTCTAGACTTTCCTGTTGCTCCTGTGGTTTTGTCTAGACTTTCCTGTTGCTCCTGGGGTTTTGTCTAGACTTTCCTGTTGCTCCTGGGGTTTTGTCTAGACTTTCCTGTTGCTCCTGGGGTTTTGTCTAGACTTTCCTGTTGCTCCTGGGGTTTTTGTCTAGACTTTCCTGTTGCTCCTGGGGTTTTGTCTAGACTTTCCTGTTGCTCCTGGGGTTTTGTCTAGACTTTCCTGTTGCTCCTGGGGTTTTGTCTAGACTTTCCTGTTGCTCCTGGGGTTTTGTCTAGACTTTCCTGTTGCTCCTGGGGTTTTGTCTAGACTTTCCTGTTGCTCCTGGGGTTTTGTCTAGACTTTCCTGTTGCTCCTGGGGTTTTGTCAGTCATAATGTGTGATAGCAGCTCTCAGCAGCTGCTCAGTGTACAATAGCATCTTCTTGAGGTTATCTTGAAATAATTTCGGGGCCTAGCGTCCCTGCGGCCCGGTCCTCGACCAGGCCTCCGTTTTGTTACACACCTCCAGGAAGCAGCCCGTAGCAGCTGTCTAACTCCCAGGTACCTGTTTACGGCTAAGTAACAGGGGCATTAGGGTGAAAGAAACATTTTGCCCATTTGTCTCCACCTCCACCGGGGATCGAACCCGGAACCTCAGGACTACAAATCCGAAGTGTTGTTCACCAAGCTGTCAGGCGCCCTAACAGCATGTCAGTATGTCATGCTGACATGCTGTCATGCCATCATGCTGACATGCATGTCAGCACGTCGGGCGCTCTATCAGCATGCTCGGGGTAATGGATGTGTGCTCCAACTGCTTGGCCCATTCTTATGAAACAAAATATTGCTCAGAGGGGATTTTAAGTTAAAATGAATATGTCTTGTGGTTCACATGGCCTGGTTGATAGAGCGACAGTCATGTACAGTATCTTACAGAGTTGACATTTGGTCTCCTACGGGGCAAGTGGCTGGCCGCCATTCCTTCACTTCATCCTCATACCCCAGCTCGTATCCTTGCTTCTTGCAGGGTCAGTGTTCAGTCTCTGATTGTCCACTTGGTTGGGTACTATTTTTCTCACTGTCCTTGTATTCCAGTTCTCAGACCATCTCATATCCCCATTAAGGCTTATTAAAAAACCTCCTCAACTTAGTTTAAAAAGCCAATTGTAAAGAAAAGGTGGCATTTTTTGAAGATAAAATTAAATAAAAAAGCAGTGTAGGTTATAATGTTGAAATGTCGTCCTTGGTGTAGCCTGTCTGCCTATGTATTAGGCAAGTGCTGGAACAGGGCGAGTGTTGCTCCCACTATCCTGCTGGTATAATAATCATTAATATCTTTTAAAGAAACTGTAAACTTTAAAAGTGTAGTAAGACACGGGTTAGGAAATTTATTGCTAGCCTAATAGCTAAGTATTAACTGTTTGAACAAGATTTGATTATTAATGAATAAGAAGTCATTAGGTCATTTTACACCAAGTCATTTGGGGTATATCCATAATAAGATTTATTAACTTTTGGTGGGGCTGAATGGCCCGTTTCATAACCGAACTTCTGAATACAAAGGTTAATGGCATAACGTGAAAGGATCCAATCATTAAACTAGCAAACCACCTTTGTAAAGCTGTTATCAGTGAAGTACAGGTACTTAGGTATTGTCTATTAAGAAGACTTCTTTTATCACATCAGTTGTTAAGAGCACAGGTATTGTGATTGGTGTTGACTGGTGGTGGTGGAAGGAAGAGCATTGTTGCTAGTAGCTTGTAGTAGTCACTGCTGCCCCCTACCTTAGTAGTTTCTCACTATTATTTGTCTGTTGTCTTGTTGTAGCAGCAGTCTTGCAACTTTAATGAAGCAAGCACAAGTTGTTCTTACAAGATTATTGTTGTTAGCATATTAATGTGTGACAGGTCGGAGAGCACAACATAACCCTCATAACATTGTGTTTATAAAGATACTAAAGTGGCATTGCTTCACTGTGTGTTCATGAGCCAAGCAGGCTCATTGATCTCCCAAATATGGATTTATAAAACAAATTTGTATTTCTATAATCTGAATTTATTTTGACTACCTCATGTACACCTATACTGTACTAACATCCAGTTACGGATGATATTATTCTGGTTAGACGATTTATATTATTCCCCTAGTGGAAAGAAAATTGAAGATCTGGAGATTTTGTCCAGATGCTTGTGACATTTTCAATTGCTGTGCTTGTAGTTGCCTTGTTGCTGGTGAGGCCTCATGGCTTCTGTAAGTAACCATATCAACCACGAGGTGTTGACCTAAAATAGGTACAAACAACGTGGGTTCCATTGTTCCAGTGGTCTAAGGAATTAACCTCATATAACCTGTATTCTAATATATTAGTTAAGTGGATAATTTTCCAGACTCCCTTTCATGTGCTATATAGTCATAGTGGCTTGTTACTTTTTCCTGGTAATTACCTTACCTACTTTCTAGTTATTCTGGGCTGTATTGAGTAATCCCTAATGTCTTCCTTTTCCAAACTGTCATTCGGTGGAAGCTGTAGCCATGACTTCCATCGTGATAAGGAAGTAATCATGACAGTGTCCTTGTAGTGTCTTGTCCTGACCACGGGTTCACCAGTGTTTGGCTTCAGGAAGCAACTAAATGACTATCTCAGAAAGGAACTTTTTATTTCACTCAAAAGCCTTCCACCTTCAGGTCCTCTAGTGCTTTACTGTCTGTCTTATTGCTATCCATCATTCACATTGTTCTTAACCCATTTTTCATGTGTTTTTTAACCTTTTTCTATTAAACTTCCAATTTTCATCCACCACCTTGTATGCAGCCCGTCCTCTAAATAAAGACCCAAAGTCCATTCCATGTACCCACCAAACCCCCTTTTTTTTTTTAATAAAAACAATTTACACACGACTTGCAACTGATGTTGTCTGAACACTTGTGGAACAAGTGCATTGCTGACAACTTTTATTCGAACTACAACGCTGTAAATGCTTCACCAACGTACTGCAAATATAAATAATCACCAACAGAACCTAAACACCTAACCTAACCTAACCAGTGCCTAAGTATGCACTATATGCTAATATATAATACAGTAATATTAATTTATATTTGAGAAGTTCTGTTTTGAATGAACAGATTGTTAAAATTGATTGTGTGTTTGGGGTCAACCGCTGGATAGAATGGACTTGGTTTGAGGACGGGTTGTTGTGTGTGCTTCATATGGTGCGGGGATTTTGATGTTCAATTCTGTTTTGTTTTTCAATGTTTTCTAGTGAGGTGGTGCCAACACATGTGCTTTTAATCTTGTCTGCCTGTTTTTATTTGCTTTCATGACTTTTTCATTTAAAAACATACAGTATATTTTTGTTTAGTATACAGCACCTTTTTTTTATAATTTAAGATGTCATTGAAAAGTTGTGATGCTTGCAAAGTGATCACTTGCCTGATGTTTTCAAATGTTGAAACATCAGGCCACTCAACATTTGATGTTTCAAATGTTGAGTGGCAAATTGGATAATTACACAGTCATTCCTATGGTATGGTGAACATTTCATAATAAAGAATATGGTGAATTGGGAATTTTCTCCCAAGTAACAGTTGAGACAAGGTAAAACAATTAAGAAAACTTTGTTCACGGAGCTAGTTTTCAGGGTGCAGTATACACTGCTGGAAGAGATGGGGGATCAAGATACTGTATGTGGTCAGATAATCCAACCCACACCTATGAAATGATTTTTAATAACTTGACAACCCTTATCATAACTAGAAAAGAATCCAGGATGGACCATAACATTGTCACCTTCATTTCCTGTGCGGGGTTGAGTTATTTGTTTCAGCCACGTCATTGTGATTTATTCTTTGCAGTGCAATCTGATTATGGTACTGCATTTCAATTTTGTAAGCCATGGTGCTCATGCACTAAGTTAGTCATTGATCATACTAATTTTATCTTGTATAGAAACTTGTTTAAGGTATGGAGGATTTATTATATTGTAGGGTAAAAAAATGCAGCCAAATGATTTTTTGTCTTGCAGGCATTTTCGTACCGTGTGCTGGAACGCAAGTTTGGCGACGCTAAAGCACCAAGAGCCGAGTCACCTGCAAAGACTCAAGTGCAACCCAAGAAGGTGTCCAAATTCAAAGCATCAAAAATGAAGAAATAAATTTGGGCAATAAATGCAGCAGTTGGTGTTGAATGAAATTACCTGATGAGAATAAATATACAGAACATTATATGGAAACTTAATTGCATGTATGTCTCCTAGTTTCACTCCATAAATTTATTTAGAGTAGCATGAGATCACTAGTAGGGGCATTAACCTTTTAAAGTTATATATGATGCAAGGAGTACAGCCACAGTTAATATATACTAATTTGACTAATTTCAGCCTAGTTTTGGAATAATATTGTCAATATGAGACACTTGAAATAATTCTTCATATTAAAATATTGACATTTTTATGCCATCTTCTGCTACTGTAAGGTGACATCATTCCAGGTGAGAGATGTTTAAGTAGTCTAAACCCTTGATAGAATGACGTAATTATCCTAGACACGGCATAACCATTAGTACCCCACCATTCCCGCTTGTTCCTAGGGTGAAATCGTCTTCTCACAGGTTGCGAAGGCGGAATTTTATCCTTACACGATGTTTATGTAAAACAATAAATCACTTAACTGTGTTGTCAATTTATCATCCTGTGAATACATATCATATCTTACTGTGGTCTTTCTCTCATCCTATCGTAGTGTAGATGTGTCTAGGGAAGATGGGACTCCTGATGACCTATAATGGTAATTCACTCTCCCTTAGTAGCCATGTTAATTATGTATTATACACTTGTCCCGCGATAGAATCCTGGGGGAATCCGATGCCTTTGACATCACTCTTCTCGTGTCTTTTTGCTCTCATATTAGGATCCTGAATGCTATTTAGTGCCATTTGCATATCCTGAGACACAATGTGCTAAGGAGACTTCCCGGCTTGATGCCGACTTTTGATACTGTAATTACTTACAGTAATGAAGCTGTACTGTAAGCGTATTTCCTTAAACAAATACAGTCAGTTATCTGTTTTGCAGAGCAAGCAGGTTAAGGGTAAAGTTGAAACTTAAAGCTGATCATCACCCAGGATATGCATGTAATTAGTGTGTGGTTAAATCCTTACTGCCAGTACATTCATGTTTGTGTATGCCTCTATGTTATGTGTAGTTATGATTGTGTACATATGTAAAAGTTGTGTACATATACAAAAGTTGTGTACATATACAAAAGATGTGTATGCATGTATGTTTATTGTATTTACTTTTTTCGGTATACATAGTGTGGAGTTTGTAAACAAAATATCAATCTTGAAAAAAAAGGGAAAGAATGAAGAGCTTGATAAGGGTCCAGGACAGACCATGACATCTTTACTTTCATTTACTTTTATGTGTAAGTTGGGTTAAATGTTTCAGCATGATACTATGACATATTATCTAGAGGGACTTTCTGGTGTGAATAATCGACTGTGATGTCCTTAGAACACTAAATAAGCTTGAGGTAAATTTTGGTTCGTTTATCGAGTGAGCAAGCCAAGTCTATCAGAAGACGACGTGAGGAAGAATAAAATGGTGGTGGTCCGAGATCCGAAGGGCGCAAGATGCATGATCAAGTGTCTGCTAAAGTTATGGCAAAACAGTAAATAATGCATTAAAGATAATACAAAAAGTTAATTGGATCAGTGGATTGAGACCATGATGTATAATGTGGCTATGGATATACAGTACAGTATTGAATACAATTTGCTGGAAAAAATAGTCTGCAGCATCCATAACCAATCATAAAACTGGAAAAAAAGGTCAATATTCCAAAAAGTGGGATTAAATGGTGTAAAGTTTATGGCAGTATATTAAAAAAAAAGTTTACCAGAGAAATGGGTGTGGCATTAGGAAACTAGATTAAGGAAGGAAAAGGAAAATGTCATGAAAAAGAAAATGACACCCATGAGGCCTATCCTAGAGGCCTCATGGCCTCAGACCAGGCGGCCTGGTTGAGAACTGGGCCGTGGGGACGCTTAGCCCCGAAATCATCTCAAGGTAACCTCAAGAGTAGACCATCTTCATTTGTCAGGAGACAAGAGGTACTAAATGAGGACTAACCAAGAACCTTTGGCAGGAGATTCATTCTTGGACAAGATGGAGAATGTTTAGTGCTAGTCGTCGTCCTCGTGAGACCCAGATCTAATTGTCTGAGTGTTACAAACATATGAAGAGGAATACCTTTGTATGAGATGGTTAGAGAAGACCTGCACAGGTGACATTGATGTGGGTGTAGAGATCAAGGGGTCGACTCAAGTCGTCTCCAAATCAAAAGTTTGTTTAATTCCATTGTATGGTCTCAACATTTTCTTGTAGATTCATCATATTTTTGCAGAATTTCTTCTTTTATGTAAATTAGTGGTTTTATAGAAAGTGTTTTGGGCAAATTCAAGAAAGATGTGTGTGTGGCTATATGTTTTTAGTGCAATATTTAATGCTGTGATGAAAGTTCAGAGATTTCTTTGTACCAGATCAGAGCTTAGTGATTGACGGCTTGCTAGTTCTATTCAAGGAACGCTGTGCTTTCAGGCAGTATATCCCACTGAAACGGCAAAGATTTATACTGAAATCCTTTGTTTTCTGTGGTTGTGAAACCATAATAGTAA